CTCTAGTAATAGATCATCTGGTATGTCTATCGGAGCACATCCATCATTTGTACCCCCCAATGTGCCATCTCCGATGCTCGCTATCCAATCAGCAAAAGCGGCTAGCTCGTCACGTTCATTCGAATCGCCAATGCTCTGAAGACGCATGTTCTTTGTAAGTCTAAGCACAGTACAGTCTCCCCAAATGGTAGAAGAATTAATAGCAGCATTAACAATCTCCTGACGATTCCCATTCGGAACTACAGGCAGGATTTGTCGAAAGTCTCCACCAAACACAACAGTCTTGCCTCCGAACGGTTTATGATGATTTGCCGGGTCGATTGCTCCCATTATTGCCTTAAAAGAAGCTTGAACAGCTTCAAAACAATGCTTGTGCATCATAGGGGCCTCATCCCATATGATTAACGAAGAGCGAATAATCAACTCTGCAAGGGGGCTAGCTTGATTGATATCACACGATGAATTTTCATGCACAGAAAGAGGAATGCCAAATCGAGAATGTGCAGTGCGACCGCCCGGCAACAGGAGAGATGCTATTCCACTTGATGCAACACAAAGAACAATTCGACTACGCGATCTTAGCCCAGCAGCTAAAGTCCTCCACAAGTATGTCTTGCCAGTTCCACCATAACCATAAACAAAAAACACGCCGCCCCTACCGGAATCAACAGATGTCATTATTCTGGAATAAACACCCTTCTGTTCATCGGTCATATGTGTCAGCAATTCATCATGCTCATTAGCTAGAGCCTTACGGTCATAGTTAAGTTCATCCATAACCAGACGGTTCACACTTGAATTCATACTACTCATATCTGGAAAAGGCATAGTAGAATAGTCCCGAAGGCTTGTGCCACGATGTCTCAATAATGTCTCAATCTCTGCAAGAGCTAAATTTTTTATATCTGCATCACCCAGCTTCAAATCTGAAATAATGATAGATGACCTATTAGATTTGGCTTTTTTACGTGGAAAACAAAAAAATTTAATAATTAAGAAAAACCATGTTATTATAATACTTGATAACTGCATAATATAAAACCCCCTAAATCTCATACCATCATTATCAAAAAGACGACGTTGCTTGTATAGTATGTCGTCAGATAGAAATTGCCAACACCGTTCCCAAACTTCATCGGGTTTGCCTAAGGATCCAGAAACCAATAAAGACGCAAACATGCGCCTAAGGGAATCAGCAGATGCCCACTGACTTGCTTCGGTAATTCCATCAATGTACTCTCGATCATCACCCAACAAACCTCGTGCATAGCAAGCATCGCGGTAGGACATGTATTGAACATCGCCTACCTTCATATAATCTTCGTGGCAAGTAGCTCCACGAACAACATTGACCAAACACCTCAAATAATAATTATCACCAGCATTGGGAGGAACATAGCTCAAACGACCTATACAACCTGGCCTTATTCGAGGAGTCCAGACTCTTTCTTGTTTGTTCCAAACAAATTTGGACGGCGCCTCAACATACGTCAGTTTTCTCACCTCGGGATACATCTTGTTCGCTTCCATCCATGCCAAAAATTGGCTCTCATTTACGGTGGGATTATTAAGAACTTCATCGATAGGATCATCATCATCAAAAACAATATTATGTTCACCTTTCAAATGGAAACTCAGACGTTGCACAGAAGGTTTTTTGTACTGCAGTTCATAACCCAATAGCCTCCACGCCGCCTCGCAAGAAGACACATACCGACAGTCATAGAACATGTTGATCTCGTCAACAGGTTTTTCTATTTCTCCATACGCAGTCGTCTGATAGAATGATGCGGTGACACGATCATGACCTTTATTAACGTATTTGAAAAGGTACTTTATGGATCGCGATTGATTACACCACTCGACGTTAATATGCGCTCCATATTTCATCAACAATTTGCGATTGTGAGGCACGACATAACCATTATGGACAACGACCCCATTTTTTTCAATATGCCTCCCATCGTCTCGACGTCTGTATCGTGGATAACCTTCATGGTCGACAGTGGTTAAATCGACAAACTTTTTTGGAAACCGTTTACTACATTTGCCATCCACCATGCACGGAGACGATTTTCTAGCCAAACCACAAGGTCCGTGGATCATGTGCTCTTTTACTGCCTCATAATACAACGGATCCGACGTCTCATCAGGTATCTCCGCAGATATTACTCTGTCAATGTCTGACGGATTTGGGAATTTATTTTCTTTGGCGAGAAATAGTAGTATATGAGCATGCGGCAATCCACGCTACTGAAATTCAATGGTGTAGACAACTACAAAAACACAAAAGAAGATAAAACAATTAGAACAATTTTTAAAATGGTGTTAGACATCACGATGGACATATATACAACCGTTTTTTTCTTCTTAAAATAATACCTGCTACGACTTTCCCGAAAATTTGCTTTTTACGAAAATCCCTGATTAATTCCTTCAATTTTGATTTGAAAACCCTACATATAATATCGGGGCGATCCTCAGGTCGCAGTCTCTTTGGTTCCAAAAAACGAACAATCTCAGGCCATTTTGGATTGCATGTGAATGTTACAAACAAATCGGGATAACCTGCCCAACCACAAATTGCCATTGCATCCTGATAGTTTTGAATCATGTTTCGAGGTCCCCCAGTGAATGAAGAAGGAAGTATAATTCTTTTCCCTCTAGAGCTTGGATCAACATCGCCCTGGAGAACTGCATCCGCCAATCTATTATACATATCACATCGGAGTCGACTCTGATTGAATCGTATATACCGCAACCTCGATGATTCAACCATGATATATGCATCAACGACAAACTGCTGAAACAATCTTCTCGCTGAAAGAATAGTAGATGGTTCGTGTTTCCGATCATGGATCCGGTACGCAAAGTATTCCCGGACACTCACTGTTTTTCGACCACGTTCTTTTTCAACTTTTCGATTTGAAAATGGAATGTCTTCTCTATAGCCATCCTCACCGTAGGGCAAAAGAATGGGATATTGTAAAGCCAGATATGAAGCATTAAGCTCATTTATTCGCTGTAGTCGCCCACTCTTGGTTTCAACCAATATATCTCGCTCACCCATAGCCTGATCAAAATCTCCAACGACCAAAACAGCAACTTCAGAACTTGTAGGCAAGTTATAACGTCTGGCATCATTAAATCTCTTTCCAATTAAACGAATCCTGACATTAGATTCACCATGATCTTGAATTCTTTCTCTAGCCAAACGAAATGATTTCACAAGTTCGTTGTGCTCATCCAACATGGTCGTCAATCCAGAAATAATTTCTCCATTCAAATCAGTAGCACCGTCAACATTTCTGAAAAATGAAAAAATGTTAATAAGGCAATCAAATAAAATATTATAAAAGAAAAATAATAAAAAACTCGATTAAGGATATTATTTAAATACTGACCTCACGGCATTCATTCTATTCGTTACTTCATTATCAGTGTCATATATATAGAGCTGTGCAAATTTTGGAGTTGAACCTTCAGAAGGAAGTAAACTACCCATGAGATGGTAGTTTTGCCCGTGCAAACTAAAAACGGGTGGTCCCGATCCTTTGTTGATGTCGGTATTGATCTTGCCTCCCAGAGAAGTAAACCCGAACATGTTGTTGTAGGATCTAATGTTTTCTTGAAAGTGTTTGCTAACGCGGCTATCTCCATGTAGCAGTTCACTCAAAAATTGTGGCGGATTATGTAGAACAGGTAGTTCAATCGTACCATCACACAACAACCACCGTACTTGGTAACGGCAGACGTTCTCTCAGAAGTCTTTCTCTCGGCATACCAAAACATTGCTCCACAGTACACGCATTCGACATTGGCATCACCCATGTCCCAGTACTCTGCAATTGTTTTGATGAAAAATATTATAATATTATATAATAAAATCAATTTACAAAATTTGTCATAAAATAAAAATTTAAATTATAACCAACCAGATCGTGTAGAAGTGCTCGCCAACACTTTTTTAGGTCGACCAGGTTTTTTCTTTTGATTTGTAGGTGGCACTTGATCAAGCAAATCAACACCTACAATAATATAAACATAATCAATTCAAAACTGAACACTAAATATAATTATATAATTCACTAATAAAATAATAATATTCATAAACATACCATTTCGTGTGGACGTGCTTCCAATTATTTTTTTTGGTCGTCCACGTTTTCTTTTAAGAGACGTAAGTGGTACTTGATCGTCAGCCGTGTGATCCAATATCTCACTCGATATAGTTGGGTATGGCGTTGGATTGACAGTTATTTTTTCATTGTCTTAAAAGAAAACGTAAATAATTGAAAAACATTTTGTTTAAAAAAAGTATACATAAATATACTGCAATAAGTGATAAATCAATTATTTAAATAACAACATACCGGTTTGTGTGGACGTACTTCCTATAACCTTTTTAGGTCGACCACGCTTTCTTTTAAGTTCCGTAAGTGGTAGTTGACCGTCAGCAATGTCATCCAATAACTCACTCGATATATTCGTGTATGGAGTTGGAGTGACGGTGATTTTTTCAAGTTCTAGAAAACGTGAGCAATTAAAATATATTTACTTAAAAAAATTATACTGAAATATCCTGCAATAAGTGATAAATTAATTTGTTAAATAACAACATACCTGTTGGTGTGGAGGTATTTCCTATAATTTTTTTAGGTCGACCACGTTTTCTTTTAAGAGTCGTAACTGTTACTTGATCGTCCGCACGATGATCGAATATCTCACTTGAAATAGTAGTGTTTGGAGTGCCGGTTATTTTTTCAAGATCTGGAAAACGTAGATAAGTACAAATAAATAATTAAAAAAAAAATCATACTGAAATATAATGCAGTTGAACATAAATCCAATATATTTAAATAAGAACATACCAGTTTGTGCGGACGTATTTCCGAAAATAGTTTTAGGCCAACCATAGTTTCCTTTAAGAGTTGTAAGTGATACTTGATTGATAGGTGCTACATGATAATATTTTAATTATATATATATATATTATATATATGCATGTAAATAAATAAATTTAAGTAAAAATATAATTTTAAAAAATTTACCATTGGTGATGTTTGATAATGGTAGACTTTGAGAACTATGCAACACACTTCGCCATTGATATGAAACCCTGCCGGAATTATTGTTGTTTTCAATCGGAATAAAAGAAGATCCAGTAACAGGAGAAGGCGTACAATATCCTGTAGAAATATAATGGAATATTAAGGATTAAGGACACAAAAAAATCAGTAAATGAAAAAAAAAATTATATAATATTAAAAAAGAATTTAAATATATATAAATGTATAAATCATAAAACAAATTAATTTAAAGGTGACAAAAAAGAGCTTTGAACAATTTTGTTTTACTTATATAAAAATAATAATAATTTAATATAATTTCTTATATTGGATTAAGAGAAATATATTATCAACTTTCATTAAAAATCTATTAATGTAAATAATAATCAAATAAATGAGATTAATTGGCCAAATATCATTTTAAACCCATATCACACAAATTCAGCCCGAAATTAAAATACGTATTTACGTGTAATAATTATAATAATTAAATATATAAAGTTATAATAATTAATCAATAATTATAAAAAATTAATTAATATAGATTATAACACAAATGGGCTGAAACCATTTTTGCAACTTAATATAGTGGCCAAAACCATTTTTGAAACTTAATATAATGGGCCGAAACCATTTTTTTATTTAGTAGTCCCAAAATAAAATTTATCTAGTTGGGGCAAGGTAATTTATTTCTTAGCCCAATTTGAAAATTAAGCAATCAAATTCTTCAAACTATGTGCATTATTCTGGGCTGACTGACCCATCTATTCCACTTTCAACAAAATCGGATGGCTAATATGAAGTCAACAAAATCGAATGGCTAATATTGATAGAAAAAAGGTATAAAAGGCAAGAAAACCCGTTTAGGGTTTCATTTCATCTGTCCCAGTTTTACGCCGCACCGCCTCTTTCTCTCTCTTGATAATTGTCTGAAAATGTTTCTTTAATCAATATCGTCGAAAATTTTTCAGAATTACCGTTTATTTATGTCTGAATTACTTACTGAAATTTCTTATTTTGTAAATATCAATCGCATCGATTTCCTTTTTGGGTACTTTTTTCTAATTTTACCAATAAAAGCCGATTCAATGTTGAAAGCTTTGTTTATGGTTACTTCGATCACAACGGATAATCACAACGGATAATCGAAGATCTTGGTTTCAACAATCCATTTTAACATCGGAGGGAAAGGAAACTATGATATACCCTACTTTTTGATTTTATTTTATTTTATTATTATATAACATTTAATAAAAGACTCTGATTTTTGTGTTTTCGTTCGAATTTGTTGTTATTTGCTACATATGTGTGAGCTCACAGTGGTAGATCTATGTTTTCTTTCTAATTTTCTCTATTAGGGGTCAAATTGCAGTGTGTTATTTTCGAATATAGTTTTATTGAGTTAATATTGATATTTTCATCTTGATTATTGACGTCTTCATATGTAGTAATACATTTGAGCATGCTTACAATAAACTTTTATTAGATGCAGAATGAATTTCGAAAATATGATCAAAATATGGTCGTCCAGAATAAAACTGAGTTATGCCCAACCTCCATTTGACATATAAGACTAAAAAAATATGTATTTTAAAATAATCAAATTGCCAGATTTTATGTATGTGCTGTTATCAAATTTAAATTACATTTATATTATATTTTATAATTTTTTGTGTTATTGCTTTGATTCCGAATTGTAGTTGGAGAAGATATGCTTATATTTTGCAATCATTTCCACATGTTACAATATTCTTTGATATGTTCCACCATATGTCTCCTTCACCTACTGAATGTTATCACATTTAAAATAATTTAAAGTACAATTTGATCACAGTTTTATAATTTCATTGTTATCTTTTTTTTTTGCATGAGTATCATCAAAATATCACAAAAAGATTTTGAACAACACAAGTCAGAGCCTCAAAGAAGAAGAAGATGCTGTATAGCATTGAGCTGCCACCTTATAAGGTTTGAAATCTAAATTATCTCAACAGATTGTTAATTAATGTGATCTGTTTATTAACTTATCTTAATTATATATCCTCACACTATTACTAACATATTTAATTGATTTTGTTTTTCAATAAAAATAAGAAACATAACATCCTACAAGATTATACATATTACTACAGATTTTACTAAATTCTTATATTACTGTATTATATCCTATTTGTTAACTACATGTACTAAAAATTGTTTTTCTTATGTTTTTATTGCAGCTGCATAATGAATAAAGCCATGACATTCAATTTGAAGGTACCTAATACATTTTTAGTGAATTACTTGCACACAACACCCACCCAAAGAAAAAGGATATCAACATATTGTAATCAATATTACTAAAAGATGTATCAAGTTCTAACATATATTTATGTAATCGTGCGAGGATGATGCTACTAAACCTGAGCCCAACCTCTTACGAACAACAACACAAAAGGTAAATAGGTAAATCTCTCAACTGAAATCAATAGGTAAGTCTTATATTAATGTGCCAGTACCTTTTTCTTTAGTTTCGCAATTATTGACTGCATATGATGAGCTGTTTGTGAGATCATAAATTATTCCACTATTGGAATCAATCATCTGATGCTGTTGAATTCCTTGAAAAAAAAAACAAAATAACCAAATATTTTTTATCAATATAATGGTTTGGATGAAAAATTATATATTCTTAAAAAATCAAAAAGTATGTAGTTTATAAATCGAAAGCAATTAAAATGTATTTACCTTGTTCATTGATGTGTTCTTTTTTACGCTGTTTGGATGTGCATGATTTGATTTTATTGGTAGCCGAATGTATTCCACCATGTGTATCCTTCATATCAGCTGGTTATGTTTCGATTCCTGCTACTGCTTGCGAGGGAAACAATTGTATGTATCTGTATTTATATTGTCGTGGAGAAAATTATAAACAGCGTGGGCAAACAATAAGGAAAAAGAGAATGGTAGTTAGATGAGATAAGGAATATATTTATTGGAGATATTCTCTCATTAGTTTGTTTGGAAAAGATAAAAGCCGAATATGGGATAAGGGAATATTAGTTATTAACATAAGATAAGGAATATAATTATAGGAGATATGCTTATAATAGTTAATTTGGAAAAAAAATCGAATATTGTTATTTATGAAAGATATATTGTAGTTTTTAGGATTTGGAAAAAAAATCGAATCTTATGAATTGCATAATACTTCACTATTCTTATTTTTGTAATAAATTCGAAGGTATTTAAAATTAAAATATATATAGTCAATTATAAGTATAAATATAATCTACTAAAAAAATAAAAGATTTAACATTAACATTCTAAAAACACACGTGAAAAACTTAAAGGGGAAATCAACTTTATTAATAATTCGATTGAAATCTCGAAAACTATATGTTTCCTAGAGACTCAACCAAGAAGCAACATAAAGTTGCAATTATTTCTTCAAAAAAAAAAAAACTAACCAAACCATCATAAAAAAAACAATCCAAGCAAAAAAACACCATAATAAAATTGTTTTCTAAATCAAAACTAAACATCTAATTATTATTTCCTTCATCATTGGGGAGTAAGTTCCCATAGTCATCGACTTTCGCCTTGCCTTTCTTGCTCGTCACGGATTCAGCTTGTCCAGCCTCGGGGTCAATAGCAAACTCATCCATCAAATTGCATTTTGCATTGGATGTGTCACTAACATGCTCAATAGCTCGAACAGTCTTAAGCGGTGAAATAACTTCCTCTTCATCATCGTCCTATTCAAAATAAAATCAAGTATAAACTTGAAAGAAACCCTAAACTTATAAGTAAATGTATTTAATATTTAATTACAAGTATTTATACTAACCTTAGTAGCTTCCTCTCTTTGTAAAAGGGTCATAAAGTCCGAGTTCTATAGAGAAAAAGCATAATAATTATTTTTAAAATCATGTATTGTATACGAAAGGAACATAATTAAATTGTTAAATCTAATTTAACAAACTTACATCAATCTCTACAACCCAATGGTTGTACTTGGAAACCAAATTTGGATCAAGAATAACCCTCAAAATGGAGAAAGTAGATGAATAGCCCTTTTTTTCATTATTATTTGCTTTGATTCGGACCTTGAAAAGAAAGGTTCTCCCAACCAAGTCCTCTAGATCATCCGGCAGCTCAAAAGCACTTTTATTCTACAAACAAATAGTTATAATAATTATAAGAAATATAAATAAAAATTATATTTCGAATTAAAGCATATATATATATATATATATTTGTTAATAAAAGTCACGTTTAGCACAGAAATTTCACGTTTTAGAAGCTCACAAGACTTTCCAATCATCCTTTCACACTCTCTATCCCAGCACATGAAGACAGCACTTGCAGTACAATCAGCGACTCCAAATTGAATCTTGTACCTTTAAAAAAAACGTAAACTATATATAATAATATGCGAAAAGACAAACATAAAAAATGTTGTTCCAACCGTGCAATGCCACGTGTGTTACTGCACTTGGTGCACTGCATATCACCGTAATCAATATCCATCTTGCTATTGCATCTTTTGCAAGCAAGGTACCACCAATTATCAATAATTGAGTCGATTGAGGCACACACCCAAGTATCCATATCCTTTAAATAAAAACATTAAATTTGTAAGCATAAAGAAAATCGGAATATTATTATACAAAACCGGAAGTATAAGTACAAAATCGAATTATTTATATTATGCTACCTCTTCAGCCTCATTGATAGCATCAACAGAGCTAACGATGACATCGCCATCCTCAAGTCCTTGAACTTCACTCTTGACAACTAAAGAGCTATTCGATCTAAGCTTCACACCTTTGATTTTGCTAGTTGACATCCTACACAAAAGATATTTATTTAAAATAGAATCTATTAATATATCCGTAATCATAATGTAAGACATAAACTTAAAAATTATTTACCTATTCAGAAAATCTTGAACTTCGGGAATATCGTGAACACCAATCAAATGTGTGACATCCTTTGAAGTTGTTATTTGAACTTCACCTAGTGAAGAAAAAAGTAATTGGTAAGCAATACTCATAATTTTAAATTATCTATTCATAAGTGACATGTTTATTTTCGATTAAAAAAAATTAAAAATAAATTACCATTCCAAGGCTTTGCACGACACATTTGTATGACCAAGACAAATGGTTGATTGACTTCCACATAGTAATTCTCGAAAGCAATAAATTGATCCACATACGCTCCCCAAACGGTACATGTCATAGTAAGTCCACTAAAAATAATCAAATATAATAAATTTAATAAAAATTTAATAAAAAGCTATAAAAATCGAGTGCAACTGTGAACAAAATAAATCGAAACAACTAACCCCAAATCCATAAGACTAAAATTAATCATTTGGGTCGGGCCACTCTTCACATTTTTTATTTGAATTGGATGGGTCTCCACCACCAAGCCAATAACATCTACATTAGATAAATTTTATGAGAATTTATTAATATACATCATTTCATAACTAAAAAATTTAAACATAATAAATAAGTAGATTATTAGGAATATAAATAAATTTTTTTATAAGACTTACAAAACAAAATTGCTTCGTCCACGTTGTCTATATCACGCAAAGTGAGAAATTCTCTAAAAGAGAATCGATAGAGTGGAAATGAGGTCTTGAGTTGAAAGAACTCGGTTCCCCTATGAAGAATGATGCGAAATTTGCCAATAGTTGATTTGTAAATGCCTATGTTACTCTCCACTTGATAATGATTGAAGGCATAAGCTTCTCCATCCTTAAGCTTGTCAATGAAATGAGATATATGAATGGGCCTTATGAGACCGGTTATCCTATCACCCTAGAAAACGAAAATAATAACAATAATATATTGTAATTAAAATAATCACGAAAATTAGTAAAAATTAAACATTGTGACGAACCTCATTGTCATGGAAAATTAACTCTTGCACTTTCTTGTTAGAGAAATTCTCGGAAGTTCTTTGAAACATGCGAATAATACGAAGCTTGAGGAATGGCCTATTGGACCTCTTGATATCCTTGATCAAACCCCATGTTTGAGTCATTTTCTTAAGAATACTAATTAAAAACGAAAAGATGTGTTCTGTAGGACGTGCTTTGTGTGTGTTGAATACAAAATAACATAATGCATTGGTCTTTTTATAGTCATAGTTACGTGAATTAAATTTGTTAAGTAGATAAATGAAAATATTTTTTGAGATTTAGTTATCTAAATTTATTATTTGTTTCGATATTATCAAGTAGTAGTATTTTATTAGGATACTGTTAATAATACAAATGTTAAGTAGATTCAAATACGTTTATTTTGTAAAATTTAGTTAATAAAACTATTTGATAAACTAAATCGAGTTTTAGTTTATATTAATACGTTTTGAATCTACAAAAACTATAAGAGATTAACAAAATCGATTTTATAAGTTTATAAAATGCGTGTGAGTCACGATTGCAATAATTATGGAATTAATTATTTAAGATATCTACAAATAATTGACAAAAAAATCTAACAAAATCTGTAAGTGATAAAAAAAAATTGGATTGTACAATTAGCTAAAAAACTTTAAGAGATTAACAAAATTGATTTTATAAGTTGATAAAACGCGTGTGAGTCACGTTTGCAATAATTATGGAATCAGTTTGTTAAGATATCTACAAATAATTGACAAAAAAATCTAACCAAATCTGTAAGTGATTAAAAAAATCGGATTGTACAAATCAAATTTAAAATATTTAAAATAAACGTATGAGTATAAATCAAATTTTTGTTTTGATTTGAATTGGATAAATATTGATTATTAATAGAAAAAAATGTGGATAAATATTCATATGTTATAGAAAACATATGAATATATTTATCTCAATATTAAACTCTTTTGATAGATATCTAAATTATTAATTATTAATAGAAAAAATGTGGTTATTTTAAACAATATGAATATTTAACAAAATTTGTATTTCAAATTACACTATTTTAATAAATGTCTAAATTATATTATATTAATTAATTAATTAATTAATCTATTATGACATTTTTTACTAATCTATCAAAAAATTTGATATACCTAACAATCTATACGAAATTTATCCAATTTATCTCAATGATGACATTTTTTATTTACGCCTAAAATAGTATTAAAAAAAATGTAGTAATTTAGAAGTCATTATCGATTTATAAGAAATTTGAAAAAAAAACGATATATTGAATCTATTATAAATTGTCGAAAAATTGGTAATGAAAATCTACATTTAAGTTTTAATTTATTTTTTATTATACCAACAATTAATTGATATTTATAGAGCTCATTTTAAAATACAATAATCAATCGAATTGAATAATAATAAAATGAATAATAAAGGAAAACATAATACTCATAATTTTATTATCAAAATCCTAGCAATGCCATAGAATAAAATCTATTAAACAACACGAATTGGAATTTTAACATAACAATTTCATTATTTCTATGAAATCCATGCAATAATCCTCATAACTTCGGAACCCTCGCTAATGTTGATGGAAAGTTTCCATCGCACGTGAATAAATTTTTGTCCTTGAATGAAGCACAAGCATCCATCTGTTGCCGGTTGTATTGATCCTCTGATTATTGAATTCAACATTGTAGTTGTGGATTGCATAAACTTTGCCTAATTTGAAAACATCTCGATATAATCCAATGCTTGGAGAACGGATGATGGCATTAATGCGTGAACCCTACAAAAAAAATTTATACAATTAACTAAAGTAATTTATATCAATATGTATAATTTTTATAAATATGTATGTTACATAAAACAATTGAAATGCTTACTTGTTCATCATGAAACAG